CTAACATGAAATAACGACAGAATCAACGGCAACCGCCATTAATAATTGGTTATATGGCACATTGAGAAAGAGTTTACATTAATCATTGGTTAACGAACATGAACGTAGCTCATAAATTCACGTTTTACAGCGAAAACTATCAACTTTATCATAAGAAGAACAGAAACTTTTGCAGTTAGCTTTAGCTAGCAGCTCAGTGGAGTTCAGCTACATTTCAATACAAAAATATATCAGTTATTGTGCCAATAAACAAGCTGGAAGCAGAGATAAATCCTCGGTCATTGTTTATTAACATTCACCTACCATTCTTCTGCTCCATCCTTCAGACGATGGAGCTGAAACAGGAAAACTGTCGCCGGGAAACAGCAACAACTTCCGTTGTCGTCACGCACCAATCACATGCCGCAGAAGAGCACAAGTCCCGCCTCTTTCTGCGACGTAACCGGATGTCTTTATTACTGGAGCAAGAAAATTATTATTATATCGCTGTTTTTGTCCGTGATGAATTTTTGATGCTATTTTATTTTGACTTATTTTTGAGAAACGTTACTTTGATCCTTAATGACATAATAACAAAATAAAACTATGAGATCAAAAATACTTTATTGAGCCCAAAGGGAAAATAAATAATAAACACAATAAAAAGTCATAATTCTGACATAAAACTTCACAAATATGAGATAAAAAGTTGTCTTTTTTCCCTTTGAAAGTCATAATTATGGTTACGGCAACAGATTAAGTTTCAAAAGTGTTAAAAATAGATATTTCAAAGGAGCTTAATATTGATTAAAATATTGGAAAAAATATAATAATCTGCCAGTGAAACTTTTCCATCAATATTAAGAAAATATTTACTTAAAACAAGCTTCTGTATCTTTCTGGAAAGTTACTTGAAAGTTTGTCTCATTTAAATGAACTAATATATTTGCACTAACTGGAGCAAAACTACTTGGTAAGATTGTTTTTGTTGTTGTTTGTTTTCTTCTCCTAAAGTGCTCAGGTGAACATTCATCACTCTATTACAAGAATAAAGCCGTACTATTATAATTTACCCTTATAATTTAGTTACTTTTAGTGTGATCCTAGCACTCAGCTGTCATGTTAAGTGAAATTAACCACCTGCCAGTTAAACTCCTATATCTTGCTGGTTTTGTTCAGCCTGCAGTGCTCAGGTCAGCAGGCGTCACATGACGAGCCTTGAATCAGCTGCAGTTCAGCTGCAGAGGAAGAAGGAGTCCAGTATCTCCTCCTCTGCCTGGTTCTGATCCAATAGGAGCGAGCTGTGGGCGTGGACGGGTTCTGTTTACTTCTGTCCTGCAGAAAGTGGGACAGACTGAAGGCTGCAGCTGTCACACTGACAGGGATCCACATGAGCCTCTGCAGCACAACATTCATGGAGACCTCAGTAAGGTAGGAAAACTCTCTGGATTTCTGAATGTAAGCTGCTTATTTCACCACAGAAGGTAAAAATCTGGAGTTTATAGCTCAGAAGCAGCAGATCAGAGTTTGTTGGAGAGAACTGGCAGCTGATGGCTTCAATTTGAAATAGAGGAACTAAAAGAAGAAAAACAAATCAACATTTCACAGCAGGGGTGGACAAATTTGGCTGACAGAGAATCAAAAATGATATTCAAGTCAGAGCAGCATTACTGCAACATGTTTATATTCAAGTAAAACTCAAACATAGCCACCAAAAAATGACTGAAGAAAGAATAAAACAGTATTTGGTAAAAGGGCAGAACAACTGATGAAATTATCAAACCCTTAATATTCAGAAACTGCAGAATCAAATGGACCAAAATATGAAGTTTAATGAAAATGTTGGCATTTTAAGAACCAAAATGACAATAACTCATATAAGTAACAAAAAATAACAAAATCAGGCAAAAGAAAATGTTTGAATAAAAACTTGAGAAACTTGAACAGAAAGTGCAGGTTTGTGTCTGAATCTGGTGAATTTCTGGTTAAAACTAGTTTGTTTCTCATTCAGTGGGTGGAAAATACAGACGTTTTACTCAAGTAAGGGAAATAATACTTCATAATAAAACAACTCATGAGGTAAATGAGTAAATGTAACCAGTTACTACCCAACTCTGAACATCACAGGTGCAAAGAAATCAAAGTTATTATCCTGATTAAACATCATATTTTATGTTGTTTTCTAGTTGAGGAAAAAATGTAAAGTTTTACTGAAAAGCCGATTTAATGTATTGATTTTGATGTTTTTAAAGAAAGAGCCATCAATACGTTTGTTCAATCAAATCCTAAAGGAATTTAAGAAATAAATGAAATTTTTTTTAATACAGATTGTTAAAAAAACAACAAAGAAATCCAGACAACTTTAATTTCTTGATTTTATTTGAATCTTTCTATTAGTATTTCTTTACATTCTTGGCAGTGCAGCTTAGATATGGTTATTCTGTGGTTCTTCTGCCTGAGTCCTGACTCAGACCTCCAGATGCCGCCTCGGTATTTAGGGTAAGGCCCAATTAAACGGAGACCTGCTCCAGACTGACTAATCTAAATGAACTGCAATCGTCTCCTGCACCTGCTTGGACAGGAAGCGACCAGCTGCTGCTCAGGTCTGGCATTAACACGTCATCAGGTCCAGACCGCAGCGCCGCGCTGCAGAAACACAACATCCTGTTCATCTGGTTCCTACTGCAAATATCTTAGTGCACTTGAAATAAGACAAAACTAACGAACAATCAGGTTTTTAGCAAAAAATAGGAGCTTGTTATGAGTTAAGAATTGATGAAAAATAAACTTTTTCATGAACATATTATACATTTTCACCTATATGTGAAAAATATGACAGAGGATTAGAGCCATACTAAAAAAATTAAAAAAATAAAATTACAAGAATAAACCTGCATGAGAACAAAGTCATAGTAATGTGACAATACAGCCAAAACATTACAAGCATAAAGTCATAATACTAAAGTTCTACTATTATGACTTTCCTGTTGTGATATTATTTTTAAAATTTTCTTCACGTGGCTCTAATAGTCTGTCAGAAAAATATGAGCTTCTGTATTTTGCTACTTCTAAGTGAGTTTTATCTTATTTCAAATGATTAAATGTTTTTGCACTAAACTGAATTACTTGGTCAGGTTTTGTGTTTTGCAGTTATGAAAGCAGCATAGGGAGCCGATCAGGGAAGCGAGTAACTTCAGGAATTATTGATATACATTATTGAGTGTTTGATTTTAGAGTTAGGAAACACAGAAGTGTCTGTTTGTGGAGATTGAATCAGCAGCTGCTTTAAAAATAATGAAAACAATGAAGGATTCAAAATGATCCTCGTTATTTTGACGCATCAGTCGAATGATTTATGTTGCAATTTGATTTTTGTCTTTGTCAGACTAAAAAGTCTTTTTCAGTGTATTTCACCTTGTTGTAAACTGGGCTGCAGGTTCTTGAACTGCGTTTGGCTTTGATGCAAAAATGATGGAGTTTCATTACAGATGAGCAAAAACTGTTGATATTCTGCTAATGTTGAAAAAACCCTTTTGTAATCGCCGTTTCCATTACATGAGATGCGCAATTAAAATCATGCGTGAATTTGTTTGTTTACGTGATAAGTCTTTAGAAAACATGACGCCATCTTCCTCCAACTACTTCCTGTCTGGTTCTTCTTCCTGGTTTGCACCAAATCCAACATCCGGTTCCTTATTGTGTGATTCAAAGTGTTTCTAGAAAACCAAACATTTAATCCAAAAACTGTTTTTGGAAGTTGTTTTTGTATTCATCCTCACAATGTCAAATTGTGCAATTATATGGAAATGGAAACGCAGGTAGTGTTGAAATTCCTCCTTTCATCCTTAAAGAGACAGTGTGAAATAAATGCATCCCAGATGGGTTAATGTTAGGGGTCAGGGTTAAGGGTCAGGGTCAGGGGTCAGGGGTCAGTTGTCAGGTTCAGGGTTCGTCACTGGGTCCAGTTTCTGTTTACATAAACATAATTATAACGATCACAAGTTCTGGTTCCCAGATATAAACATGTGTGAATCATATCTTCCTGTTATCTTGTTCAGAGATGCATTTATTCATATTTTTGTTGAGTTATTTTCAAACTGTAGGACTTTTAGCACTTTATTCAGCATCTAAAGCAAACAAAGTTCAACAAACTTCATCTCAAAGACTTTCTAGAAAAATAAAACACTTTTCCATCACTTCTTGTAAAATTATAGTTATTCAGAAACAAAATATTCACTTTTCATTCCTCACAAATCATGAAATAACAGCAAATCTTTTAGGTCTAGTTTCTGGAGCAAATATATTAGTGCATCTGAAATGAAATCAAAACTTTATCCAGAAACAGGAGCTTGAGTGACGTCAGTAAATCTTTAATATTGATTTTAAAAACATTTTAAATTTTTAATTATTTCACTTAATAAGACATTTATAGGGAAATAATCTGCTGATGGAGCATGTGTTTATTATTTATAAATATTAAGGAATTACTGCCTCAAAACAAGTTTATTGAAAAGTTAATTGAAAGTTATTTTTGTCTTTTTTCAAGATTAGCAAGATATTTGCTCCAGAAACCAAAAATATTTGGTCAGGTTTTGTGTTTTTTCATAATTTATGAGGATTAAAACAGAGAATAAAATCAAACCAGGTGAATATTTTCAGGAAAAAACAGGCTTCTTCAAATCCCATCCAAACGACGGCGTATTATGAAGACAGAAGGATAAATTCCTGCCAGAAAAGTCAGAAATTTTGAGATGAAGCTGAGAAATTTTTGAGAAAAATTAGGAAATTTCTGAGTTTTAAAAGTCAGAAATTTGCTAGAAAAACCTCAGGAGTTTTTAAAATTAATCTCAGAATTTTTCTAGAAAACAACCATTTCTTCGTTTCACGTAAAAAAAAATTCCAACTTTAAAAAAAATTTTTTTTTGTAAATTTGTGACTTTACAAAATTTTAAATCTTAGATTTTTTTTTCTGTGCCAACTTTTCAAACTCAGCAATTTCCATGTTGTTTTCTAAAACAATTATTAGCTTAACCCCAAAACTTCTGTTATTTTTTCTTCCAAACCCAGAAAATTTCATGTTTTTCAAGAAACAAAATTTCTGAAATTTTCTCATTTTTCTTGAAAACTTCTGAGATTAATCTCAAACATTAAATGTTTTTCTAGCAATGTTTGAGTTTTCAAACTCAGAAATGTAATTTTTTAAATTAAATGTATTAAATTCATTTCTTTTTGTCCTCTGCCTGCAGTGGCCATAACAGGCCGTTATATCTAAATTAAATCTTATTTTAGCAAAAGAAAAACCAAAACATTGCATCTGTCCGGGTTCGGTGGAGCTTTGCTGCAGAGAGGCCCAGTCTGTGGCGTGCCAGCAGGTCAGAGGTCACATGGCGTCCAGCTCTGGCGCCAGCTGGTCCTCAGGCTTTACGTTGTCGCCCTGCAGAGCCGCCATGCTGAGAAGAAGCCGGAGCGGCAAAACCCGACATGTGGCCTGGAGCGAAACCCGGCAGGACGCAGATGTCATGACAGCTGGACACAGGGAGGAGTGGGACAGCCAATCAGTGACTCAGGTGAGGCAGCAGAGGAAAACATGCTAAATGTGCAACATTTCTTTAAGCTTTTCCATTATTTGGATTTGAAAAATATGATTTTTTTGCACAAATTTAAATTGTGCAGAACAATAAAGAAGAGTGGTGGGCAGAGCTGGGTACTAATTAGTTACATTTACTTTGTTACATGAGTAACTTATTATAACCTATATTTTTACTTTGCTGTACTTTTTTATTTTACTTCAGTAATTTTATTATGAAGTATTTTTACTCTTACTTGAGTCAAATTTCTGGATTTTCCTCCCACTGAATGAAAAACAAACAAACTTCACCTGCAGTTTCTGTTATTGAAAAGTTTAGCCAGTCGTTTGGGTTTGGACCCGGAGCCTCAGGCACAACAAACCTGTTTTTTTACTCTTTTGGATTCCTGCCTGTTGGAGAAATGACAAAAATGCTAAATGCAAGCCTGAGTCTGCTCTGCTGGGACGACGCATCCAGACTCACATCGTGTTGTTTGTTTCTCAGATCGGTGACCTGGACTCTGAGATGGATCAGCTGGTCGGAGCCGGTTCTGAGGTTGTGGTTCTGCCCTTTGCTGCGCCAGGGAAGCGGGAATCGTTCTCCATCTGTGAGCTGCAGGAGGAGCTGAACCCGAGTTTATGGGCCGCTGACGACAGGGAGGAGGACCAGGGTGAGCCGCACTGCAGAAACCGAGCCTGGAAACAAAGCCAGAAATGAACATAAATCATGATTTATCCAGTTAAATGTGGTTTTACTCACCATGTCTCTCTCCATCTGTCCGAATCTCAGTTCATTTATGCTCATGTAAATGGATTTGGAGCATATTTAGGTCAGGATGATCACAATAACAACTTTTACTTTTATTTTATTGCAGAGTCGGGTAATAAGTAGTTATATTTAATTAACTACCTTTATATGGTTAACTTGTTTTGTTCTTTTTTACTTTTAGGAGCATTTATAAATAAAAAAGTTGTACTTTTTAATTTTAACTTGAGTCTTTTCATCATGAGTTATCTTTGCTCCTATTTGAGTAAAATTCCTGGATTTTCTACCAACGGAGTGAAAAACAAACGTTTCAACCCAAAGTTCAGTGGATTCAGGCCTGCAGTTTCTGCTGAAGTTTTATACGTTTTTTATTGAGAGAAACTGATTTGGAAAAGTTTCTTGTTCTGAATTATTGTCATTTTGATCCTTAAAATCTCAAAATTTCCACTTAACTTTATATTTTGGTTCATCTGATGATGTAATTTTTAAATATTAAGATAATCTGATCAATTACTCAGTACTTTAGTTTTTACCAAATACCTTTTACTTTTATTTGAGTATGTTGAAGTTGTGCTTTATATTTTCCTGTTAAATTAATTAATTAATTAATTCATTCATTCATTCATTCATTCATTTGTTGTTCACTTGCAACTTATTCAATAAAGTTTCTTAAGATGATAGAAGAGGAAATGGAACTGCTGTGTGAACAGGTTTCAAAATAAAAGCATAAATATAAACAGCTGACTAACTGGAAGAATTATTACATTTAGCACAAATTATTCTGCTGAAAAGTTTCAAAACAGTCAAGTAAATTAGTTCTTATTAGAGAAATTTCAGAGCGCTAAATGTTTCCAAAGTTAGCAAGAAATGCTACATCGCTAAACACAAAATTAGCTCCACTATTATTTCAGCATAGATAAATTAGAATATTTGAAATTATTTAACTTTATGATTTTTAAAGGTGCAGCTTCATCTAAAATCAACTCTTTAATAGTTTGTAGCCCTCCGTTGTCACTGAGCTCTGCTTTTGAGAATAAACACGTTCTTCTTCTTCTCTTGTCAGTTTTTGACTGGGTTTGGGACGAGCGCTGCAAGTCGTCTGGCGTCTTCCTCAGCTGCGACGACAGGAAGGTGAACTTCCACTCGGACTACAGCTGCGGCACGGCGGCCATCCGCGGAAACCGGGAGCTTTCAGAGGGCCAGCACTACTGGGAGGTGAAGATGACCTCACCTGTCTACGGAACCGACATGGTCAGTTGCTTTAAATCGTTAAAACCTGAACCCAGGTAATGTCCGGACCCAATCTGGGTCCCAGGTCACGTCTGGACCCGATCTGGACCCCAGGTCATGTCTGGAGCCAATCTGGGCCCCAGATCGCGTTTGGACCCGATCTGGGCCCCAGGTCACGTCTGGAGCCGATCTGGGCCCCAGGTCGCGTCTGGAGCCGATCTGGGCCCCAGGTCGCGTTTGGACCCGATCTGGGCCCCAGGTCACGTCTGGAGCCGATCTGGGCCCCAGGTCATGTCTGGAGCCGATCTGGGCCCCAGGTCGTGTTTGGACCTGATCTGGGCCCCAGGTCGCGTCTGGAGCCGATCAGGGCCCCAGGTCGCGTCTGGAGCCGATCTGGGCCCCAGGTCACGTCTGGAGCCGATCTGAGCCCAGGTCGCGTCTGGAGCCGATCTGGGCCCCAGGTCATGTCTGGACCCGATCTGGGCCCCAGTTCATGTCTAGAGGGCAAAAATCTGCAAGCAGACGATGATTAGCATCTAGCTTTTAGTTGCCAAATTGTCAAAATAATGTCCTAAATCATAAACGTATGTCTGATATTTAAAATATAAATGGATGCAGGTGTTTGCTACTGATTATCTCCACTGTTACGAGATAATAAGAAGGTCAGGAAAAAGTTTTAACTAAGAAAAAAAGGGAGGGAAATAGGCCAGTTATGCTAGCTTGACTTTGGCAGCCATAACCTGATGTGGAATTAAAACCCTTTAAAAAGGGTTTTTAATTAGCTAATCAACCACCGCTGTGTTGATTAGCTAAAAGCAGCTTAACTAATATACCACAGCGATCTCTTATTAATAATATTAGGTATTAGATCCCAGTGATGGGGCTCGACATGAAAACCTTTGTAAGACTCTGAATGCTGATGTATTTTCTGTCTCTGCAGATGGTTGGAGTCGGAACCTCTGAGGTGAACCTGGATAAGTTCAAGTTCAGCTTTGGCAGCCTGCTGGGCCACGATGAGGACAGCTGGGGCCTCTCATACACAGGTTAGACCGCTTCCTGTTCACATACATGGGTTTTTATCCATGTGAGCAGATTTTAAACCCAGAATAATGTTTATTTGAAGGTTTGCTCCAACACAAAGGAGACAAAGTGAAGTTCTCCCCTCGGTTCGGTCAAGGCTCGGTCATAGGAGTTCACCTGGACACCTGGCACGGCACTTTGACCTTCTACAAGAATCGGCACTGCATAGGTAACAGTTGAAGCTCTGATTTAAGGTTTAAGTGGCGTAAATAATGTGGGACGATTTGCTGCTGTAGCAAAATGGTTCCCGTCTTTATGAAACTGAAATATGAACCAAGATCAAACGTGGGGTTCCTCAAGGCCGTGTAGTCGGACCACTTTTATTCAGTGTATGAGAGATAACCATCCCAGACTCAGTAAGAACTGCAGCATCTCTTCGTGACATGCAGAGCTGACCCAAAGCAGCAGCAAACTCACCACCGTGATCAAATGCTTGAATTTGAACAAAGAACTTTAATATTTGTTTATTGAGAAATTTATCAAATTTAATTCAGTTGCTTCAGCAGTGGTGAGGACCACCTATGCTAATGTTGTTATAATGCTACATACAGTATTGTTACCTAAAAATACTATATATAGTTACAAAGTTTTTCCAAATTTGTTTCTCTGAATTATTTCTGAAGCTAACCAGATAAATGCCTTGCTAACAGGTGTGGCTGCTACCAGGCTGCAGAGCAAGAAGTTCTACCCCATGGTTTGCTCCACGGCCGCTAAGAGCAGCATGAAGGTGGTGTCGGCCTGCTACGCGCCGACCTCCCTGCAGTACCTCTGCTGCGCCCGGCTCCGCCAGATGTTGCCCAGTTGCCCCGACGTGGTTGACGCTTTGCAGCTGCCGCCGGGCCTGCGCACCGTCCTGCAGAGCCAACTGGACTGGGTGTTCTGCCTGAGCAGCGGCCCGGACCCGTCCGAGGACGATGACTGCATGGAGACAAGCGTGCCTTGCAGCCCAAGTGCTTGCGTCGAGCCGGCGCCTCGGGATCGGCCCACAGCATGCCACTGTCCGCCGACTCCGCCGAGCAGCGACTACGACAGCTGCTGCTCCGACCCGGAGGATTATCAGTGCAAACGATGCCGCTGGACGTGACCCGCTTGCGTTTGTGCTGCACAGCGTTTTCTACTACTGCCATGTTTGCTCTGATCGACGCTCACTGCACTGCAAAAACACTAAACCTTACAAGTACTTTTGGTTTAGTTTCTACTGCAAATATCTTAGTACATTTGAAAGAAGACAAAACTACCAACATTTAACTTTTCAACAATATAGCAGCTTATTTTTGTCAACAATTCCTTAATATTGATCAAAACGTTTTAGTTCCTTTGTCAGATTATTCAATGTGTCACAAAACATTTTCCCTATAATAAAGGTAAAATAATCTACTGATTAAACTTTCATCAATATTAAGAAATTATTGACTTATTAAAACAAACTTGTACAACTTGCTGAAAAGTTACTTGTATGTCAGTTTTGTTTTATTTCAAGTGTGCTGAGATATTTGCAGTAGAAACTATTGTTATTTTTTGCAGTGATCTCGTCGACGTTTAACATCAACAACAAAAAGTTCTGTGATGCTAAATTCTCCCAAAAGTTCTTGTGATAAACAATAATTTGTGTCTGAAGATCATTGTCAAGTAATATAAAGGCAATAATAATGCAAGAACACTTTAAATTCTGATAAACATTTAACACTGGAACTGGAAGACATTTTGAATCTTCAAAACTGAGTTGAACAGACTGAAGACTTTTACCAGCCAGAAAGAGAGAAAAGAGAAAAATAATGCAAATAGGGTTTGTTTTGATTTATTGTGCGATTGATTTATGGTTTATTGCTGCAGGCCTAACAATCAGCTCTTGTTTCTCTTTATTTGAACTTCCTATTTTAATCTGTTTGTGTCTTTATTTAGATGTTTTTTTATTTTTTAAATGCCACTGCTCAAGCCTTTGGAAAAGGCTGGATTTGAAAAAGCAAACCAGGAAACTTATTCTCAGGGATAGTCTGTTTATAATAATGTAAAAGTATTTTTATAAGTGTTTTTTTTTTATCTATCTTTGAACTGAATATCAGATGAGATTTTGCCAATTCTGTTTTTCTATTTATTGGTAAACATCTGATTGTGAATTTTCTTACAGTCCTGTAAAAATAAACAACAAATAATGAAGTTTTGTTTCTAGTTTCAGTTTTTATTCAAGTTTTTGTACCTCTTGGACTTTTTCAATAACAAACCTCTCTGTGTGTTTCTGGGATTTATGTTTCGGTCCCACATCGAACCGAATCGACTGTCAGCTGGTAAAACACAAAAGGACGAATTTAGGCCTTTGACTTGTGAGTTAGTTTCTTCCTTGTGTTGGTTTGTCACAGAAACAGGTGGAAAAGTTAAAGGAAATAAAAAATATCACAAAGATCTTAATCCAAGCAAAAGACTTTTAGTCCCTTTTATTTCATGATTTACATAAAATGGAGACGCATGTGTTTGGAAAACCAGCTCATTTTCATTCTTCATTAAAACAGAACTTATTTATTTACATACATAATTAATGTTACATTTATACAACTGTCTTAAGGCCATTTTAGATGGAAAAGTCAAAAATTTTAGGAAACAAATTCTGAAATTTTGACATTAGAATTGTTATAAAAGCTTTTTGACTTTTAAAACTCAAACATTTTCCAGTTTGTTTGGTTTTTTAGAAAATTTTGAGATTAAGATCAAATTTTTTCATATAAAGATCTTGGAAATTTCTGAGTTTCAAACACTGATTTTTTCTTTTTCTTTTTTGAGATCCATCTCAAAATTTCATTTTCAACTTTTCAAACTCAGAAATTTCCTGGATTTTTTTTCAAGCATGTGTTCCTCCTTTGTTCCGTACAATGGCCCTGATACTCTGTCATTCATTTTAACATTAAACCAGAAGAAGACGTTCTTTTCCATAAAGAGGCTGCATGGTTTCCAGATCGGGCCGATCAGTCCAGAACCAGCTGAGGGTTTTCCGCGGTGAGGCTGCGGTACATTCTGCCTGAAATATCCGGTCCAACTCTTCTTCCTTTCCCTTCTGTTTTCACCCAGAGCCCAGCCAGGACGCGCTTCTTCTCCGCCTCAGAACCGGAGTTCTGGTAAGCCTTTCAGGCGACACATGCAAAAGAAAATCGTTACGATCCTCCGGACCTGCGGGGTTTTGCTTCCAGCGGCAGCTGATTACCTGCAACAGGATCCGCGGAGACGGGAAGGCCTGGGCCACAGCGGCGGCCACCGCCGGGCTCACCCTGTTCAGCTGCTGGATCTGCCGGACCCAGACGTCCCTCAGACCAGAACCGTCCCTCCCAACCCGGGCCCCGCCGGCCCACGAACCGTCCACGCAGAACGGCAGCTCGGTCCGCTCGGTCAGGAGGCTGTGGGGTCAAAGGTCAGTTAGCAACTGAAGCTCAATGATATTCACTACCCAATGGATGTAATACAATACTTTGAACTTTCTGAACCTAAAAATTAACTAAAGTATAAAAACATTAAAATTACCACTAATGAAAACTGAGCAACATTTAACTAATAATTTATAAACTAGCAAAAACACCAAAACCAATGAATTTAACAGAATTAGACAAACAAAAAGTCAGATCGGAATAAAATGAAGATCTTATTATCTGCAATAAGATAATTTGTTACGGTAAAAACAAAGACGCACTTAAAGGGGCGTTTTGACAGAGCCTTGGTGACGGCGCACACATGGGCGGTGATGTCCTGCCAGCTCTCCAGGAAAACCACAGAGATGTTCTGATAGAGCTGCAGGTAAACAAGAACCTAGGAGGTACGGAAGAGGATTAGTGCCAAAACAAACATTTTTAATATTCTGACATTTTTTCTCAGATTTGTAATTCTGTGTCAATTTATGTCAAAATCTAAATACATTACCCCAAATTCTTAGGTGTATGTCAGTTTTGTGGTTAGTATGTGAAAATAATCATATAACTGTTTCTTCCTTGTTTGAGGATTTCTAAACTTGTACTTCATCCTCACAGAAAGCTTTTCCCAAATTTATTTGGTTAATTTGAGTTTTAAAAACAAATTTTTTTTGATGGCATACAAACAATTTAAACAATTCTGATTCTGAGATTTACGTGGGAATTCTGAAAAAAACAAAAAATCTGAATTCTAAGAAAAAGTCAAAATTCTGAGTTTACAGTCAGAAAATCGGAATTCTGAGAAAAAAGGTCTAATTTTTTTTCTTTTCCCAGTGGTCCTAGTCCAATCCCAGTCCCCAAACAGCAAACAAACCTCCTCCACATCCTGATCCTTCATCCCCAGTTTTGTCCGCAGCATCTGTTCTGGAAAATATTCCTTCATCCTGTTGGGAAAACCAGAAAAACTGATATAACAAGGAAATAAGTTTAAAATTACAACGGCGAATTAGGGCCACTGCAGATTGAAGAAACTTTTGAAAATTTTCCCCAAAACCCTTAGAAATTTTTAGTTTAATCTCATAAATTTTCTGTGAATAAACTGACCAGTGATGCGACTCAAAGTCCGTCACCAACATGGTGACCACCTTATTCCGGTTGAGACACTCCAACAGGGGGCTGAGGACCGTCCCCGTCTCCTGCCCATCGCCGTCCACCATCTACAGTCCACAGTGGGGACAGCATGACATCAAATGCGTCTTCATTTGGAAGTTTTTGCGACTTTTAGGAGCTTGCTTACTTCTTTCACAGAGATCACAACGTCCACAAATTCATCAAGAGTGAAGACCAGAACCACCTGGTCCTCCTGCTCCACACGGGCCCGACCGTCTTCGACCTGCTGGGAAGCGCACAACTTTGTCAATGATGTGATATTAAATAAGAAATTAAAATCACGTGAATACGTTTGTTCACGCAACAAGTCATTAAAAAACGTCACCCTCCAGCTACTTCCTGTTGAGTTCTTCATAGTTTCCACCAGTAGCAACATTTGATTGTTGATCATTTGACTCGTGTGATGCAAAAAAAAAGTGTATCCTTTACAGTTTTTTAAAATAAACCAATTTTGATACGACCAAATAAAAACCACCTCTTCTTAGTGCAAAAACCTCTTATTGAAATTTTTTTTCCAAATTTGCACGTTTTCATTAATCAAATTTCTTTTTGGGATTCCAACTGTCAGGTCAATGGAAACCCAGGTGTTGACCTGAATGGAGTCTCTGTGAGGCGGGAGCGTCCTACCTGAGGCAGATCTCTGGTCCAGGTGATGCTGCGAGACAAACGCTGGCTCTCAAAGGTGAACCTCCACTCCAACATGGCCAGGCGGTCCAGCAAAATGTCTGAGCCGGCATGTTGGAGAAGGGCTGCGGAGGTCAGAATGAGTTTTTACACAGTATTTACAGCCGAGTTTATTGCAGAAACCACAAGTTAAACTTTAATATTCACAGAACAGAGAGAGGAGGAGGAGCTGCGTCTAGGAGGCGGGGCTAGGCCCACCCAGGCGTTTTGGACATCTGAATGGTTTCCATGGAGATTAAATGATGGAAGAATGAACGCAATTCTCCGGTATGTTCTTAATTAGTGAATAATATTAAAAGATGATGTAAACCTCATCATAAATACTGTCCTTTAGAGTCTTAAACTTAAATGATAAATAATTTTAAATCTTCTAGTTTACCTGCTGAAACCCAGTGGTGATCACACTACTGCTAATAGTGGAGCTAATTTTTTTGTTTAGTGCTTTAGCATTTTTCTTTTTGCCAACTTTTTTGCTAATTTTGTAAACTTCCACTAGAATAAAGTGCTTCATCTTTGTTAAAGTTTTGGTTCTTTATCACTAAGGATCCTTTTACTAGTTAGCTGTTTATATTTATGCTCTCACTTTGAAGTCTGTTTATACAACAGACTTTTATCATTTCTTGATCCAAAATGATAAACGTGGATCCTCAACATGTTTATATAAATCACAGAAATAAATAAACTTGTCAGTGATTTTTACTGATGAATTAAACGCACTTTAATAGAGCCTGATGGATGGAAGCAGAATGTCCGACAGCACCTGAACGCGTCACTCTGTACCTGGCTCTATGCAGACGGTCAGGCTCTTGATGCGGTTCTCTGGCCGGAGGCTCTCCGCCGCCTCTCTCCTCCGCTGCTGCTCCCGCTTCCTCTCCTCCTTCTCCCGGGCTCTGGCGGCTCTCTGCCGCTCCCTCTCCTCCTTCCGCTTCTTGGCGCTCAGCCTGGCCGCCTCCATTTCCTCCCGGCTGCGGCGTTTGCGTGCCGGGCTCGGGGAGCCGCCGGCTGCCTCCGGAGCAGGCAGACCGGCTCTCCAGTCACTTGTAGCCGCTGAAGACGGAAGATTTGTGGGTTTTTCCTCCGGTTCTCCTCTGCTGTGTGTCGTTTCTTTTTGACAGCTTCCATCGCGGTTTAATTCTGATTTCAGGTCGAGGTCGCTGTCCTCTGATTCAGAAATCTCCCAGGTTGCGGCTCTGCGCAGGGCAGCCATTTTTAAAGCTCAGCCTGCCTTTGTTTTTGTAGCCGCTACGGAGTCAACCGAGGGACAAACCATCTAAAATGCGATACACCATTTTCTCATTTTTTATTGCGATTTACCGTTTAGTGGAGGGCGGATCGGAATACTATTTATTTATTACACAGATTTGAAAACTAAATATATGTTATTTTATTTTATTCATTTTCGTTTATTCGTCAATTAATGCGTACAGAACGAACATTACAAACTAATAAACAAACATATAGATCTACAAAATAACAAATAACTGATTAGATAAAAGAATGAACAAAAAATATTGACATATTTGGGTTAGGATCCCTTTTTTCTTTCCATCCTTACTGTTACTTTTATATTTGCGTTATTACTTTTTTTTTTTCTCTAATATGTCTTGGTTTTGTTTACCCTGCGGTTACACAGATTTTTGGGGAAGAGAACAAGAAAAAATAAGACAAAATAAAAACAAATAAATGTATACCAGAACAAATAAGTAAATACATTAAGAAAATCAAAACATGTTCTGTGATCTTATTAGCAAGCTTTCCATTTCACCTCAATTCCAGTAGTGTTTATTTCTGCAGTGGCAGTGCCAGTGGCATTCGTGTAGGCTATTTATTAGAAAGAAAGACTTTAGAAACTCGTCCATTACTAAACTTTTAAACTTTCTAAAGAAACCCAGCTGACGTGTGGATTAGAAATCTTTTCTTAGAAAAGGCAGAAGGAGGACTGAGCAGCTGCTGTCACCAGGTGGACCACAAAACAGATTACACACCTGTTGTTCCATGGATTAGAACTGAGAACAGCGATCTAATCTGACTGGATGGCTGTTCAAGAAACACTGAGTGCAAGAGTTACACATATTTATAGGCAGGACGATTAAAATCAGCCAAGTTTGTGACGACAAACTGGGATTTAGCATATAAACATGTAGATATATATTTTAAAAAGCCATAGTTATAATAATAATGAAATGCAATTTTGCAAAAGAGGAAGACAAGGTTGAATTAGTGCAGGTGTATTAATCTGATTTAAGTTTTCATAGCTTTTTAAAGCTTGTATTTCTGCTAATTATGATGATTTTCCACTTACAGCTAATAAAAACATCACATTTTGGGTTAGAATTTCATGGTTTGATCAAATTAAGACTAAGTTGTTTTTGTTTGTTTTTTTTTTTTTAACATAAAAACCAAAATAAATAAAAAATATGTTGAAAATATGCTTAACACTAAAATGATCTGTGATGCTATGGGCCCGTTTCTCCTGGCTGGAGTCCAGGATATTTCACCTTTATTGAATAAAATAGCTAAAGTAAAAAAAAGGAAATGAAAATTAAGTAAAAAGTCAGTGTGAGATTTTGGTACAGCAATAAAAACATTTTTTATCACATTTATTTCACACCTTTACCAAACATAATAGAAATAGGATGTAGATACATAAATATTAATATGCATCATGTTGTTACCAATTACAAGTAGTTTTTTTAAATTTTGGATGATTAAATTAATGTAAATTTTTATTCCAGTTCATTATAAATATGCAATTTCTTTTGGTTTTGTTACAGCTTTCATTTATAGACCACATCTCGTAGAGAAATTGTAGAATTTGAATGACAGCTGTAATAAAAAACTTAATCGTTTTGACTAGAGCACCGTTCTGGTCAATTAAGATGTATGCAGTTCAGGGATTGAAACGGCTAATTAAAACAAAAAATTAGAAAATATGATGTGGAGACATTAATAGTGAATAAGAGATTAGTTAAACAAATAAATAAAACAATTGTTAATACTGAAAGGGAAAACTGTTAAAAGAATTTAGGTTAGTTTAAAAAAAAAGAAGAAGAAAAAAAACAATAGATGGCGGTAAAGATCTTAACGCTCAATGTCTCCCGCCATTAAAAACCACGTAGAAGAAAACGCTGTTCGTTTGCGTCATTGCAGAATTCCAAATAACTGGATGCGTCGTCAGGAATGCTATCAATGCTAGTGATTCCATCCACATGATATGTAAATCTGCGGTTTGCCTCCGTCTCACGCTAACCGTGAGTTTTCCGACGTTGAACTTCTGCCGCAGCTGCAGACCGTAAACAACAAAGGATGTGAAGCATTTTTCTGTTTTATAGCAAACTTATTTCCTCTCAGAATGGCTCAACCGGCGGAGAAAGGTCAGTTGTGCTGATTGTTTCTCTAAAATTGTTCCTCATATAGCATTTTAAGCTAAAGCCCAGTTACTCGCAGGATCCAATACTTCCCTAGAAACGGGTCAGGAAACGAGCCACTCAGCTTTTTAGACTTTAAAAACTCATGTGACTCAAATCGGAAGTTGTCCAACAGGGCTTTAGTAAAAATCTACTTTTCTATCATGTGTCAGTTTCTCTCTTTTTTTGCAGCTGCAATTCTCTGCATGGAGCCAATTTCACCCTCAGTCCAATTAAATAAAACTCATTTAGTGCTAAAAATGTCTCATGAACAGTTTAAATAAAGATACATTTATAATTTTGAACAATTAATGCGCTTTCTTATTTGCTAAACATTTATTTATTTCTGTATTTATTTTTAATTTTGTCAGTTTTGGTCCTCCATAGATTCCTGAAGTTCACCTGAAGCTGCTGTTAAAGTTCACATTGGGTCACCCAGATCTGATTATACCTGCTGTATTTAAACTTCAGCAATTCCTCTACAAATTACGGCTGAGCTAGATCCTGTTTTTACTGAGAAACAATTAAATATTATTTCATATTTCTTCAATCGAGCCCAAAATAAGACGTAAACTGGATGCCTTTTATTTAATAAGGAAATGTGCAAAAAACAATTTGAGGTTTTGGATACGATCCCGTTCTTAACAAAATCTGCGATTACTTTATTTGTTTTATTAAATTACTTCATAGTCAGTTTATTGTTAAGTATGCTGGAACCAAAACAGCAAAATCTTTGGTAATTTTAGTTCTTAAAAATGATATTTTTTTGTCCCACATGTACTTTCGAGTTTATGATTTTTGGCTCAGCTGACAAAAAGTTTGGACTTTCCCTCAATAATAGATCTTTATTTAAGAAAAACCTTTCAACAGATCGTTCTGTTTTTGCATCTTTAAGATCATTTTATTCCTTTTTGGGGTTCAAAGGTCGCTGACGCTTGTGAAAGACCATCAAAAACCTGTTTTCATCATAAAATCCAAACAGAATACTGTGAAGTTTTGTAGTAAGTTAATTTAATGGTATTTTGGTGTTTCCAGCTTACTATCGTTTCCTGGTTCTCTTCTTTAACTGCCTCCTGACTTTTGGTTCCTACTTCTGCTTCGACATCCCCAGCGTCCTGCAGGACCAGTTCCAGGGGGTAAAATCAGTCGATTGATTCCTCATGATCAACCTGCTGGATTCATGTCTGACATTTAGGTCCCAGGTCCGAGTTATAACTTTATCCCTGGTTCGTCTCGTGCTGCAGAACCTCACATGTCCCAATGCAACCACGATCAACGGGACTGTGGACTGTGTGGAGGGCCTGGGGATGAGTCCGGAGCAGTACAACCTCCTCTATGCCATATATGCTTGGACGTAAGCAGATTTGCACGTCGACTCATTTTGCCATAAGATGTTGTCTTGTGAGCGGGTCTCTGTCTGACCACCAGGAACGCCGTGGTGGTGATTCTGGCCGGATTCCTGATCGACAAATTAGGAAATCGATGTGAGTCTGCGTGAGTTTAAAATCTGTGCTGCTAATCGATTATTCTGATGACTAATCAATTACTTTGATGAAAAATTGGCACATTGTGCTTAATTCTTAACCACTGAAACTTTTTTCTACAATTATAGAAATGCATTAAACCATGTGAATAAACAATCTAATTCCTCTTTAAAGTAACAAAACAAACATTTTATTTCCTAAAATGCAGTGACAGCATTTCTTTAGTCATTTGTAACAAGTGATGCTAAAACTGAATGAATGCAGTGAAAGCTTGCTGTGCCGCTGTGTTGCAGTCGGGGTGTTTCTCTTCTCCTTTCTGTGCGTTTTGGGCTCGTCGCTGTTCGCGCTCGGCTCCCACTTCAGAGGAACTCCCTACCTTCTTCCACTCATGCTCACGGGACGTTTATTATTCGGTTCCGGCAATGGATCTTTGACCAGTAAGAAGCAATCTGGTCCAGTTTCTTATCCCATGCATGAGAGAGAGAGGGATTGCTGCAGCCTCGTTTGCTTGTCCCAGTTGTGCAGAACCGCATCACGGCCTTCTGGTTCAAAGGGAAGGAGCTGGCTCTGGCCTTCGGTGTGACGCTCGCCTTCTCCCGTCTCGGTTCGGTCCTCAACTTCTTCTTCACGCAGAAGTTTGAAGACAAATACGGGATGCAGTGGACGCTGTGGGGAGGTACAGCCAGGAAGTGAAGCACCGCCTGTGCAGAAGAGTTTCTGCCTCCACATGACGATATTATTCGTCTTTCTCCAGGCGCTCTGCTGTGCGTGCTCGGCTTCGTTTCTGCGGTCGTCGTGAGCGCTCTGGACAAGATCGGCACGAGGCAGCTGGGCCTGGACGGGGCCATCGCAGAGGATTCCCGCAAAGTGGTCAGAAGTTTACATACATCAACACTACCATCATATCCATAAGTTCCCCTAAGCCCAGATTATACAGGTTCAAATGTATACATGCAGCCTCCTTTGGTTCCTTTGTCCTAAATATTCTAGAGAGAAAATTCAAATAAATCCCAGCATTCAGCCATTTTTATATCAATATCTCTCCATCCCAATAAAGAAAACGTAGTTTTGGATGGATGTAAACTTCTCTCCTGAGCCGTTTTCAGACAGAACTCTGCGCCTCGTCTGGACCCAGTTTACCCAGTTTACCCAGTTTGTCTGGTTTTAGAGGGTTCAGGACGTGAAGCTGCTGACTCTCCGATACTGGCTGCTGGTCCTCACCATCATGTTCTTCTACAACGGCATTTTCCCCTTCATCGCTGATGCCAGGTAAACGCACCAATGCAACTAACAATCATTTTACAAAATATTCTGGCAATTAATCAATTATTTTGACAATCAATTATTTTGACTATGAATTGATTATTCCCATGATTAATCGGATTTTTAAAAAAAAGGCAAATTCTGCTGATTTTTTTAAGACAAGTACATTAAAAGATAAACATTTTTATTGTCTTAATTGCAACAAAAGCTTTTCTTTAGTGAATGATCATTTATAGTGAAGGATGAATCTGCAGCTAAAACAAATACTAACAGTAATTCTCATCTCAGTTCTTTCTGCTTGACTGATCAATACAGCGAAAGGCTCACATGTAATTATTAAATGCAAAATGTTTCTGCTTTTGGTACTTTTTTAGTTTAATTGCAGCTCTGAGAATGTTTTTCAGAAAAAATTGCACTTTTTTCTAAAAGAAAGTGCTATTATTTTCAGACAGTTAATGTGATTAATCACATTAGTGGTGATTAATCGATTATTGAAATAATCTTCAACTAATTTAGTGTGTTGTTCTTTCGGTAATTATTTAATTTTAGTCGCATATGTGACAGTTTTATGTTAGAATCATGAATAAAACTGCAGTTGTTTGGTTTTCTCAGCATGTCATGCATCTTTCCTGTGCAGTAAGTTCATCCAGGATAAATACAGCGACTACAGCCAGAAAGAGGCTGCGTACGTCGCGGGCGCCGTGTACGACAGTTCGCTGGTGCTCTCAGCCGGCGTGGGCATCCTCATCGTAAGCCACCGCCGCTCTGGACTCAGTCTGGCCAGAAATCACTTTGACTGGTTCTACTTTGTGATTTAGGATTATGTGGGTCTTCGGGGAGTTTTTGCTGTGGCCTGCGCCGTTTTCACGCTGCCCGTCTTCGGACTGCTGGCTTTCACCTTCGTCCCTCCTCTGGTCTCCACCATCTGGCTGGGAGTCACTTACTCCTTCGCTGCCGTGAGTTTCAGACGGTTTTAATCAACTGTGAATTATTTAACTCATCTGTTACCAGGAAAATGTTTTAGTTTTAATTTTTATGTAATTTCAGACGATGGCTTTAAATCATCATTGCTGACTTGTGTAAATTTGAGTGCTAGCGTCCAGCGCCTTGCTAAAGTTTCTACATTTTTTCACATTCAGTTGAAAACGTTTGTATTTTATGTAATAAACCAGCAGAAAGTTCTGCATAATTACTAACTGCAGTTCCAGGAACACTTCTGCTAATCTGCTAGGTTTCGGTTGAGCTGGCTAGCATTTAGCAGTTAGCAAGACTAATGTTTATGATTAGTGTTTCAGGGTCAGCACAGCTGACCTTTTGTTGGAGGTTAGCTATTTTTTAAAAGGAACAAAACATATAAAGTCTCAAAACATATTTTATGACTAAAAATCTGAAAAGTGTGGCATGCATTTGCTGTTATTACACCTGTGAGTCTTTTGTGGTGTCTTCTGCTAGCTTGATCTGGATGGAGCCACATCTGGCGACATGAGCGCTCAGAACGAAAACTGTCGGATGCGTTTCTGATTTAGTTCCACGTGTGAAACATGGGATTGGTTTGGATGCTTTTTGAAGGCAGAATTAGTAAAGAATGCAAATGCATGCCACACTTTTCAGAATTTTACTAGCAAAATCCTCATAACACCGTTTATCATCCTCACAAAATAAATCAAGGTTTATTAGATGTCCTTTTGCCCATTGATGCCTGACGTCCTGAAACAGTTTTACCTTTTCTCTGCCCGTACGTTTGGCGGGTTTTCCTCTCCGGGTTTCGCTCCAGGCCAGCATGTGGCCGTCCATTCCCCTCGTGGTGCCGCAGCCCACGCTGGGGACAGCCATGGGCCTGGCCACCTCCGTGCAGATGGTCGGCATCGGCGTGTCCAACCTGATCGTCGGGCAGATTTTGGGCACCAAATCCAGGTAATGAAACGATTCTATGGAAGAAGGACACTGCAAAAAATAAGAAGAAGAATCTGACTTTGAAGAATTTTAAAAAAATGTCTAAATTCTGAATAAAAGCAGGATTTTCAGAATTCTGGAAAAAAGTGAGAATTTAAAAAAAAAATTGAATTAAGATTAAAAGCTTTTGGGGGGAAAAAAGTCTAAATTGTGAAAAGAAATCAGAATTCTGGAAATAATTCTATTCTTTAGTTTTTTTCTTTTTTTGCTAATCCTCTTCCTCTCCAGCTGTGATTCTCCTTGCATCAGTCGTGTTTTTCTGATTTCCTGTCTCCTGTAGCGAAGCTAAAATCCCGCTGTGGCGCTGGCAGAGGATGATGATCTTCATGCTGGCCAACACCGTCTGCTGCATCGTCGCCTCCGTTCTGCTCAACATCGTCGACCGCAGTCAGGTTAGACATCGCCGCCGTCCCGCTGACCCATTCTGCTTCACATGCTAACGGCGTTTTGTCCCGACGTCTCTGCAGGGCGGGACGCTGAACAAGACGACCAAAAGGTCGCGGCCGGCGGAGGGAGACGCCGAGCGAGAGCCGCTCACCCGGGCGCAGGAAGAGGAGGAGCAAAACCAGACCAATTCCATCAACTCATGAGGTTTTCTAATGTTTTATGTCTCAAAATGACAAACAAGCTGCTCTGCCGCATCTCAGTTAAATACAACTAGCATCTTTTCTCCAGTCCGACGTTTTGACGGCGTATTTGGAGCTGCTCTACAAAGAAAACATGGAGTCGATTTCTGCCAAAAAAAAGTTTGAAAAGTCTTGAAAAAATTCAGGAATTTTATTGAAAAAATCTTGGAAAGTTTGAAATTTTTAATGCTGAAAATTTCTAGAAAACAAACTCAAAAATTTTTCAGATTAATCTGAGAAATTTTGTAGAAAGGAACTTTGAAATTTCTGAGTCTGAAAAGTTTTACATTTCATATTAATCTTATAAAATTTATTGAAAAACTGGGAAATTTCTGAATTGAAAAAGTCATAAATTTGCCAGAAAATGTTTTTAACTTGTTTTTATTTTGACAATAAACCTGATTTATATTTTTCTTTTTACCAAAACAATATTGAGATTTTCTGACTTGATGTTTTTGTTGTCCTGTCTGAATTTAAAGGGATACTAGAGAAAATCTTTCAAACTAAGTAAACTAAGTACACTGTGCCGTTCAAAAAGTTATTTGATTCCATTTTTTTCTCACTTTAATAAATCTGAAACGTTTGTCACATTTATCACCAAGTTTAAATGTTTAAACTCTTCCTCCAGGCCGGATCTAGGCACTTATTTCTGTTTTTTTAAATTGATTTCTGAAAATTGATTTCTATTTCCAGTTTTGTTTTTAAGGTTCAGTTCTCAACGACACCACCGGATGGCGCTGTTTCATTAAATGTAATCTCGTAACGTTTGTATTTTGATTACAAATCCAAGCTCTTTTTATCAATGTGAGACCAAAATGATGAAACTTGTTAACAATATAATTTTAAAAATGACATGTTTTCAGATCAAATAAAAAAATATTCCATTAATCCCAGAGGGAAATTAAATGTTTTAACTCCTATTTTAAAAGGCACTTCTGCAGTAGATGCTGTAGAGGTCTGTACTGCAGTGATTTTGATGAAGCCTCTGACTGAAGACATCATAGATCGGTCCATCGTATCCGGTTCCGCCCGGTGTTCCCTCTGGCGCGCGTCTCGGCTCTTTTTGTTTATGAACGTTTCATTATGAGTTTGACTGACGGTTTTACCACAGAATGTTGTTTTTCTTAAACATATCCTACAGGTGAGTCTGATTTCTGTTTGTTTCTGTTCTTTCTTTTTTATCACTAGAGACAAAATAATTAGTATCTAACAATATTTTACAATCAATTGTATTTTTTTCTCCCTGTGGTTCTTAGTTTAAAGGGAATCAGTAAATTTCCAGCTGAATTAAGTAAATAATCTACTTTTTAAGTGTTTTTCGTGTGACTTCTAACACTATTCATACTGTAGATGTTTTAATACCTGGGCTGAAGATTGTATATTTCATTAAATAATTGTTCTTCATAGTTTTTTCATAATATTTTGTTTTTTCAACTTTTTAAAATTTTCTTCTGAGATGTTGTGACTGTTTTTAATGAGTCGAATTTGTAGTTTTTGTGTTTATTTCTCTTTAAACAAACAGTGAAACATTTGTAATTTAGTTTTTTTTAAACCACTCGGATGAAAATGAAAATAAAAAAAGCTTTCAGATTCAGTAAAAATCACACTTGTATTCAAAATGATAAACGCAGATTCACAAACATTTTTGTAAATATGTTTCTTCTGCTTGAATTTGCTGTTTTTTTATGGTTTATTTGGTTTAAATACTAGAATTTGTGCATAACATTTACATTTTGTCAGTCTGATTCGTAATTTAGTACAAATTAAATCAGATGTTTTGTTGAAAACATTTTTAACTCTTAACTAATTTTGTTTTTACATCTTTACTTTTGTTTAAGTAAATATATTAAAATATTACTAAAACTACTTAGTTTTTAATTATTATTTTGAACATTTACAATTCAAATGCCCTGATATGTATTTAGTTAACTGTTTGAAACACAGGCAGACAGAAGAATAAATTTGTTACTTTTTCATTTGTCTTACTTCACACATTATTCTTTATTTTAAAAAAACAATTAAATAAATTAATATAAAGAGAAGAACTTTTTTCCCACCTCCCCCTTATAAAACATTTCTATTCAGAAATAAATCCTCTGGTTTACACTCACTAGTTGTCATGTTGTGTTCATCCAGACCACCAGGGGGAGCGCTTTGCTCATTTTCATTTCTCTCAGCCTCTTCATTACATCAAGCTGTCACCTCCTCCAAGCATTCAGACTCTTTAAAATACCAAACTGTCCAGATAAATATAGGGACTACGGAGCGCCTCTGTTAGCTGTTTCTCCATCTGCTTCCACTTAAATGCAGATTAATTAACCGCTAATTAATCTGCAGCTCAAAAACATCTTAACACACAGAAGCTCATTTTAGTGTAAGATGGCAGAAATTATCGTGTTTTTGTGGTAAAACCCCTGCAGAAACACAAAACTACCAAATACTTTCGGTCTCATTTGAGTTCCGTACACATGCCTTAAATATTGATGTAAAAAGTTCTAGTTATTTCAGCTGTAAACATGGAAACAATGTTCAAAGTGAAATACTCTGCAGGTGGAACTAGGACGGGGTTGCTAGGTAACGGACGGGGTTGCAAGGTAATGGACGGGGTTGCTAGGTAACGGACGGGGTTGCTAGGTAACTGTGTCAATAAAACTATAACTTTTTCATCAATATTAAGAAATTATTGACTTTGAACAAGATGCTATTTCCTGATGGAAAGTTATTAGTTAGTCGGTTTTGTCTTATTTCAAACATACTGAGATATTTACAATTAAAACTAGATGAAAATACTTTGTGTTTTTTTTAAGTGTACATGCTGCTCCTTTGGTAGAAAAAACTAAATGTCAGCAAATGTTTTTGGGTCTAGTTTCTAGTAGAAACATCTAAATACATTTGATATAAAAATGTTACTAATCGACTTGGTAGCATTTATTCAGCAAGATGTAAAAGCTTGGCAATAATTAATCAATATTGATTATAAAGTTGGTCCCACTAACAGATTATTTACTCTAACAGGAGAAAATGTCTCGTAATGTAAGTGAAATAATGTTCAACTAGAACTTTTTCATATAGGAGTTATTGACAAAAATAAGCGCTTATATTTGCTGAAAAGTTACTTATAAGTTAGTTTTGTCTTATTTTACGTGTAATAAGATGTTTGCACTACAAAGTAGACGAAACATTCTTGGTAATATGTTGTGTTTTTGCAGTGTAGTTAAATAATCACAGCATGAGGTGAAACGTCTCAAACTGAGGAGAGAAGGTTACCTGAATTTAAAACCTCTGAAGAGAAACCCTAAATATACCTCACCTAATCTGCTTAGGGGGCTTGTAGTAGGAGTTAGCCTTTGTCCTGATGGAAAACACACACACACACACACACACACACACACACACACACCACACACACACACACACACACACACACACACACACTGACAATGATAAGGAGTCAGAGAGCAGCCGAGCCTGAAGAGTGCTGCCTGGTTTCAGACGCGGTCCGTCCGGCTGGAAGCATGAACCGCTCCGGCCTCCTGAACCTCAACAGCCTGGGGAAGCTGTGCGGCTCCGGCAACAGCAGCGACATGGTGATCCTGGACCGGGTCAAGAGGAAGAACTCTGTCAGGCGCATGTCCATCATCGAGGACGGGCAGCTGGCCGAGGTCCTCTACCTCATCCCCAAGCAGTGCATGATGGAGCAGCTGCCCTTCATCAACCCAGACGACTACATCGTCTGTGAGAAGCTGGCTGGGATTCCTGCAGAGGTCTCAGGTCAGGTCCTGCTACACTGTAAAACACAGCCAGTCAACTTGGTTTAACTTCTAGAGCAACAATATTTGTGCTCTTGAAAGAACACAAAAGTAACTTACAAATAACTTTTTCATCAATATTAAGGAAATCTTGACTCAAAGAAAGCTCCTATAATTTGCTGAAAAGTTTCTTGTCTTCTATCCAGTGGACTAAGATACTTGCACTAACACAAGACCAAAAATATTTGGTAAGATTTTGTGTTTTTGCAGTGATTTTATTACAAATAGGACAGAACTAACTCACAAGAAATAGGAGATTGTTTAAAGTCAATAATTCCTCAACACTCATGGAAAAAGTTCTTGTTCCACTGGCAGATTATTTCACTTAATGAAATGTAAAAAATGGGCAAAATATCTTGCTGTTAGTGAAATAGTTTTCCAAAGGAGCTGGAATAAAAACACTCCGCCAGTTTTTGACCAAAACTTATTTTGGTTTCTGCAAATCGAGCCGTTTCAACAAACTCCAGAATATAACGTCACAGATCAGCAGACACTGCCGCGTTACCTAGCAACCCCAGCAGACACTGTGCCGTTACCTAGCAACCCCACCAGAATTCCACCCGTTACCTAGCAACCCCAGCAGAATTCCGCCCGCTACCTAGCAACCCAATCTGAGCTCCAGCACATTTTGTAAGCTGCTTTTACTGCTGAACTAAAGAAACTTTGAATTAATTTTCTCATTTATTGAAGCTGAAGCATCATAATCAGTCAGACCTTTATGAAATGAAGGAGGGTCATTTCTCCCAGCGGATGGGCCGCCTGACTTCCTCCCTTGTCATCACAGATGAGGTCATGGATCAGACAGACAACAGAATTTAACTCACACACACACACACACACACACACACACACACACACACACACACACACACCACACACACACACACACACACACACACACACACACACACACACACACTCACACACACACACACACACACACACACACACACACACACCCTGTGTGTTTTCAGACCGCCCCCTTTCCTCTCGCAGCAGCAGTTCGTTGGTTTAGTCTCTTCGCTCTGGGAACAATCAGCAGTCATGAAACAGAAAGGTAAAATCTCCCAACTTCTCTCTGCAAATGCAAACTTTATTATTTGTTTTTTAATTTATTAGGATTATTTACACTTTATATCTACAGTTTTTTAAACTGCAGCAGGGTTGACGTTTGGAGACGAATCAGCAAAATAAACAATAAGATTAGAGGCACAAAAGCTTCTTTAGTGAAACAAGATGGTTTGTTTTCAAAATACCAGGAAATGTATTTAGATTTTGAAATCAAAGAACAGAAATTTTATATTTGTTTTTAAATTCTTATTAAGAAAATTGCAGTCAAAAATGCATAAAAAGAAAAGTTTTAATTTGTATTCACTTTACATCAAGATGTTTCTTATTTCTTTAGTATTTTGGGTCAAAGTTGAGAAATTGAACAAATATTCAAAATTTTCCATTCTCTGTTCATTTTTTTTCTTTTATTTTGCTTCATACTTAAAAAAAGGAGTTTGTCTTGGTCTTTAGACGCCTTTTAAACTGAAATTTTTCAGTAAGTTGAATAAAAATGTTTAGTTTTGTGGATTCTTGGAACAAAACGATACGATTCAAATACAGTTTTAAAACTTCCTTGAGATTCTTCAACCTCTGCTGTGGAAATGCTAGAAAACCAACTTCCAGTGATAAAACGCTGCCAAGTGGGTAAAAGTGCAAGGACAGCAGAAGTTATTGTGATGTTAGAGCCGTCTCTCACTGCAGCGTTGTACTTTTTAGGATTATAGAACATGAAGACACATGTTCCATTATCACTGTGCAATCTGAGAGAAATTATTGTTGAAGGGTCAGTTTAACACCTCAGTTAACCCCATGAAAGCCAATATTTATACTTTAATATAAACTTTACTTTTTGTCAATAAATATCCATAAAATATAAACTGAGTGCTTCCTCCTGATAGTCCGGTACTCGGTTCGATTTGGGACCAAAGTTGCAACATTTGTTACGTTTCCTGCTGCGGTTCTCTTTCACACGGCACTGTCAAATGATCCAAACTAATTGGAAAAAGTTGTTCCCCTCCTCGCCTATGGGGGCGCTGCAGCAAGAGCCACTGAAGGAAACGACATTAAAACCTCTGAAGAAGACACTGAGCGCATCTTCCTCCTTCACAAAATGTAAACAAAAATGGAGCTGTCAGGTTTCTCCTGCTAGTGCTGGGCTATCATGTTTCCTTGGTTGTATTTACCCAGAATGCCTTGCGCTGTAGTCCACTTCCTGCTTTTGTAGCGGGCTTCAGTTCGCTGGGCATTCACATACACCTTTAAACCGCACCAGAGTTCACTTCAGCCATAGGGAGACTGAGATTTGTAGGCGGACCAGAGTTTGTTTTCTCCCCAACTGAACGGGATAAATGCACTGAAGGTTCACTCAGCTCGGCATGCTGGATGCTTAAAACTGACAGTGAAATTGGCAGCTTGAACTAATGCTTGCCCGACCTCTGGCAATCTGTAGGGATCTGAAATTTAATTCACAGAGACTCAGTTGATTGTTATGAGGGGAAAAAGCCAAAAACAAAAACCGATGCAAAAATTTTTACTTTCGGAAGTTTTCTGAGTTTAAAAGGTCAAAATTTCAAAGTGTTTTCTAGAAAATTTCTGAAAATTTAACACAGGTTTTGTTTTTCATGTTGTCTTTTAATACACACCCATATTATGTATATTGCTAAAAATATCCTATTCAGTTGCACATTCCTTAGATCAAGGTATTTCTAATAATGAACATTGTTTTATCCTTAATAATAATTTTATCCTTATTCCGCAATATATTATTTTTACTTTTGTTTAT